GTAAATTCCACTTTTACGTCAAGCAATTTGGTCTTGGAATCTCAACCATAAAAATTTTATATGGTAATATAAAAAAAGGTTAAAACCTCATTTTTATCCCTAAACTATTATATGGCCCCTGATTTGGTCCCTAAACTAAAAAAATCCCTGATTTAATCTCTACTGTTTACCGTTTTAACCCCAATTTGGTCCTTCCGTTAAAATTCATTGTTAATTTACTATTACATGATGACATGTCAATTTTTAAAATACATGGAAATACAACATGACAACAAAATAATGACGTGGAAAAAAAATAACATGATAAAAAAACAAAAATTCTTTTTTATTTTTTTTTCTTCTTCTCTTTCATTTTCTCTTTGCCCTCAGAACCGATCGATCGAATCCAGCGCCTAGGTTCGATGGAACCCATGCATTGGGTTCCTTCGGACCCAGCTACTGGGTTCCATCGAACTAGTGGCAAAAAATTAAAAAAAAAATTTTTTTTTTTTGTTGGTTTTGTTTGATGATGATGACGAAACTAGCAAGGTAAGAGATTGGTTGAGATGACTGATCCCTAGGTTCGTTGGAACTCAATGGCAAAAAATTAGAAAAATTTTCTTTCTTTTTTTTTTTTGTTTGTGGGTTTTGTTTGATGATGATGAAGAAACTAGCCATGTAAGAGATTGGTTGAGATGACTGATCAAAAAAAAAAAAAAAAAGACTGGTTGAGATGAATAGATCGAACCCAGCACTTGACTACCCAGTTGAGGGCTAGAAAGAATCCAAGTGCTGGGTTCGAAAAAATTAGAGAAATTTTCTTTTTCTTTTTTTTTTTTTGTTTAAGGATTTTGTTGTTTGATAATGATGAAGAAATTAAAAAGGTAAGGTAAGAGATTGGTTGAGGAGAATAGATTGGTTGAGGAGTTAGGATTTGTAGAAGTTGAAGAAAAGGAAAGGGAAAAAGGAAAGGGAGAAACGAAAAAAGAAAAAAAATAAAAAAGGGATTTTTTTTTTTTGGTGGGATGAGTTGAAATGCCATGTCATTTACTTTTGTCAACCTGTCAATTTTTATGTTTTTTCTGTCAATTAACGTGAAAATATTAACGAAATGACCAAATTGGGGTTAAAATGATAAACAGTAGGGACTAAATCAAGGATTTTTTTAGTTTAAAGACCAAATTAAAGGTTCATATAATAGTTTAGGGACTAAAATGAGATTTTAACCTAT